CACGACAGACACGGAGCTCACTCCTAGCGCGGGCATCAAATTTGCAGCCACTCGAACTCGGATTTTAAATCCGAACACGTGCTCACTACTTCATCCATTCAGGCTGACGTTTATTTATTTATTCAATAAAACTATATAGAGTATCTTTTTTGTGTTCCTGGCAACATTTTTCTTTTTCATTTAGTTCAACTCTGAACCAATAGACTTCTCGCAGCACTTTCTCATCACTTAGGGCGGTATCATAAAATCTGTTTGGGGAACAGTCCCCGTGTTTACCGAATGAAATTCTCTTACTTTTATCTCTTGTAACACCCAATGGTTCTACATCGCTCAATATTTCTAGACTTTTATAAGGCTTATATGACATCAATGGAATGCCGACAGTTCCTTGACCCCAATAGATATGCCCTCTTGCTGATATTGATATCATCGCAAATACTTCAAGGCCATAAATCAAATAATTCATGTTCTCGTTTTGAACTTCTCAATTTTTTAACTCTTTATAGTTTTATTACAAAATTACAGTTCAGTCACACTCGCATTGTAAATAAATCGTTGATCAAATCATTGCAGATACCAAATTCTCGCATTGTCCTCGACACTCGAAAGGTGTGAAATATTCTTGCAGCGATCAGGATGACATGCTCTAGTTTCTCATATATACAAGTGAACGATAATGAACAACAATAAAAAAATGTCAGAATTTCAGATACTGACAATTGCGTTTTATGTAACGAACTCTTTTAAATAGTTGCTTTACCCAAATTTTATGAAGTGATAATAGTATATGATGATTTTGAAATTTTTTGCTGAAAATTAGATTTTTCAAATTTTACATTGAATTGTGTAATAGTAAGTTAATAATATGGATTTTTTCCTTAGTGTGCCATCGCGTAAGAGCATACCCCTACAGGATAAAGGGGTCATAAAAACATTCAGTCTCTCTCTCTCTCTCTCTCCTCTGATTGTCTCTCTCTCTCTCTGACTCTCTCTCTGATTCTCTCTCTGATTCGCTCGGTGTCCGTGTCTGTGGGTGCCTCTTTCCGCGTCGCCCTTCGCATTCATTCCCTCGGCGTCCTGTGCCCTCAGGTGGACGGGCGGCGACTGGGGCGCGTGCTCGGTGACGTGCGGGCTGGGCGTGCAGGCGCGCGGGCTGCTGTGCCAGCAGCAGGTGACGCCCACGCTCACCATGACGGTGGCGGCCGGCGCGTGCCTGGGGCCCGAGCCCAGCGCCGACGCGCTGCCTCGCACGCGCCGCTGCCTGCTGCCGGCGTGCGAGGGCGCGGGGCCGAGCGCGAGGGCGGGCGCCGACGGCGACGGCGGCGACCCGGGGCTGCCGCCTGCCCCGCAGCCCGCGCCGCGCCCCGGCGCGGGCAGCCGCTGGCACGCCGGCCCATGGAGCAAGGTGAGGTGGCCTAGTGCCTAGTGGACACATCGGCTACTGGTGTGTGGTAGATGCGCGTTCTGACACTTCCCTTCTGGGACGTATTCTGACTCAGTTCGCGGCTGCGGTGGTCAGGGTTTCGGACTGGTATCCCCAAACTTTCGGGGCAGTTATCCTCGGGTTTGTGGAGTTTTGGCGATAAAATCATTGTACGCCTTGTTTCGGATGAAAGTAAACGGGTCATGTTGTAGATTTGGTGCATGTCAAAGATCCTCAAGCTTAAAAGAAGCCACTCAACTAAATTCAAATCCCCTCTTTCGTCGCCCGAGTGATACCTTCTTTTTCCATTAGATGGTGAAATAAATAGAACGGAATTCGTCTGGTCGCAGACCTGATAGATCGACTCGACACGTAAAATAAAAAATAATTGAATTAATTAGAATTTTATGAACCTGCCAAACATCAGTGCAAGAAGAGATGCCTACCTTTCAGGGGCAGATGTCATGTCTGAAATTATCTTTTATGATATTTGCCCCTGTTTACTTGAAAAAAGTTGCCATATTCCATTTCTGTATGCTGTAGAAGTTTGTAGCATTTATTCCAAGATACCTATAGATGATCGTTAAGCACAAACGTACTGTGAACAGAAATGTCGACTGTGTTGTGTACGTGGGCCACTTCGGCTCCGCGTGGTGAGTGTTGTGTGGCGGGTGCGTTGCAGTGCTCCACGACGTGCGGGCCGGGCCACCGCACGCGCCAGGTGCAGTGCTCGCCCGCGCCCGCCCCGGGCGACGGCTCGCCCACGCCGCCCGCGCCGGCGCCGGGCGACGCGTGCCCGCCCGAGGCGCGGCCCGTCGACGTCGAGCCGTGCGACCTGGGCTTCTGCGCCGCCCCCGCCTCTGCCCCCGCCCCCGCCGACGCCGACCACCACGCGCCCGTCTGGCTGGCCTCCGAATGGTCCCACCAGGTACGCCCATCTATTCTCAACTGTCCCAATTATTGCAGGTGAATGGCGATGCGCAATTGTTATTGTTTCTTTTACTTTCTCGTTGCGAAGTAGAGAGAAAGTTTTGTATTGCTTAGCGAAAAACGGCGGAAACGCTTATTGCTGGGCCCTGGTAACGAAAAAGTGCTGGATAAATACATTAGCTAAATTTGGAAATAGCAGCCCTCTAGCACTTGCTGTGGCCAGAATCCGTTTCGTGAGACCTTGATACCGAAAAAGTGAATGACGTCAAAACGTCCGTCTCGCCGTGTGTGAACAACTCTAGCAAATGCAAAATCGTTCAGCTTATTCTTTGCCAATTTGGATATTCCCCAATCAATCCGGCCGATGTCGCGACTCCTTAAATTTGAAGCTGATGTTTTAATTTTGCGGAATACTTCACATGAAACCCCTGGCACGTTTTTTAAATTTTGAAGAAAAGAATCCAAAATTTCGTTGTTGGATAGTGTGCAAGGCATTTAAGAGAATATTGTAGGTCTCCTGTTCGTTAAAAACCCAGATTTTTCGAAAATTGCAAAAGTTCACGTTTTTTCGGTGTCTTCCTTCAATTAAAATATTAAAGATAGACTTATTTTTCCTTGAATAAAATCTGTTCCTTAAAGATAGATTTTGAAATAAGGTTTTGTATTTTCTTGAAATTTGAGTACTTTTGTGTAATTTTGCGTGAAAATAGGGCGAGAAAGTAGGTGCTGTTTTAACGCACTAGTTTACTTTCTCGCATACTACTTATGTAGTATAATGAAAGCTTTGCAATACCATTTAAAAAACTGTATAAGTTCACATGACGCCATTTGGTTGTATTCTTTTGATTTTTCAAAACTTACACAATTTTTTTGACATCTCTCTCACATTGTTAATATTTACGTTACCGACATTTTGTATACATTGTTTCAATTGCGAGTACAAGTACTTCAAATGATGTCTTATAAAACAACTCGAAAACTCATTACTTTTCTGTGAAAATGAGATTAAATTTCCGAATTTTCTGAAATGCTTAAACACCACTATCTTAAATATGGCAAAGTTTTTTCCAAGGACTTTGTTCTGATAGTTCTGATTGCACTGAATAACATGACTTCAATGCTACTTTGATACATTCTTTTGTTGTTTTTTTAAATTACATGAATGTAATTTTCTTTTTAAAAAATGGCATTTCTTATACACTATTAGGTATATAAATAAAAGTGCTTGAAATGATTTCTTATGAAGGTTTTTGATAACTTGAAGGTGTTGGGTTGAAATGAGCTTCAAAATGCATAAAAGATATTTTCTTAAAAATGCTCTTGTATTCTTTTTCTAAAATTAAAATATAAAATTGCAAATAAACATTCTCATTATCGAAGGTATAGCCAAGATCATATGTTAATGGTATCAAAAGTTTGATGCATTACTCATTAAATCTGTAATAACATAAAATTTGATACCTTTCAATTCTCTGTTATTACCAGTATCTGTTTTCAGGCAACAAATTACTAATTCCATTTCAAAAATATTTAGTATTCACTTCTTTTGTGCCGAAATTCAGCTATATTTCAAGAAGATCTATTGATTTGAAAATAACAATCCAAAATGAGTAATATATTTGATTGAGATCTTCAGCTGTATTAAACTTTGATTGCAGTGTTCAGCCCCCTGTGGCACAGGCGTTCAGGCTCGAAGGGTACTGTGTTGGCCTGGACCTGATGAATCAGCATGTGACTCGGCATCTCGACCAACGGAATCACGTGCATGTGCCAGTGACAAGCAATGCCCAGGACAGTGGTTTACAGGGCCATGGGGACAGGTCAGTATTCTATTCATTTTGTAAAAATTATTTTTCCTCCATGAATTAGCCATCATGGGCCTTGTGAAATGTGCATCCTACCAGACCTCAGTCTTAAATATCAGGGTAGGTTCATGTTACTTTCTATTGCGGTATTAATGCTCATTCCATTTTAACAACCCAGAGTAGTAAGCCCTGGGGGATGAAGTGAAGTTGTTGTGATGATGATGATGATGATGATGATGATGATGATGATGATGAATGAGAGACACACAACACAACCATGCCCAAGGCGGGACTCGAAACCTGCGATCCTATTGATCGGAGACCCGCCAACTGGCACTACTTGGCCTTAAGTCAGTCTCGGCAAATTTAGAAGACGCAACAAGGGGCAAAACTGGAAGGACAAAAAATCTGATCCTTTGTCCACTAATATTTTAAAATATTATACACTGTAAAGCCAACTGTAGTGTATTTGTCCAGTGTTTTCAATTGGCTTTGAAAATATCTTTCTCACATTAATATCCGTAATGAGGGGAAAACATAATGTTTCTTGAAGGCTGCAACTATAACTACTTCCATTAGCTCACGCATACCATACCATCACCATACTCAAAGCTCAAACATTGTAGAACACAAAACAATTTTGCATTCTATAACATTTGTAGAGAGCCATAAAATTTATATAGCAATTAAATCAATCAAAAATGCTTTAACTAAGTAAATTAATAACACAATTCATGAGAAGTAACTCACAAAAAGTAAAATTTTAATAAACGTCTCAGTATTAAAAATAAAAGAGTATGTAAAATCACACATTTCATACTAATATATTAACATAATAGCTCTAAATATATAACTTAATAATTATTTCACTTAACTTCACTTTAACTTAATAATTATCAATGCAGGGTAAAATTCTGTTTGTCAAATTTTTTCACTCATTTTTAATAAAAATGAGAATTGCGAAATGAGCAAACTTGAATTTGAAGATGGTAGTTAGCATTGCATCTACTTTGCTACACACTATGTATTAAAGTTTCTGTTGTAAGATTGTAATTTTATTTGTGTATTTATCAAATTCATTTACAAAATCATGATAACAAAATAATGGTAAATTCTGGTGGAAAATATGTTTAATCATTCATTTCAATTTTTTTTATTGAATAATAAATATTACATTATAACTAAATAAAGACTCCCATTGGTGTATATTAATCCCTCTGAGAGTTAGTTCAGTGTTTTGTTAAGTGTTGTGTGGCTAGAGTGTCAGTTTAACATTATAAAACCAGGGGTAAATGGTGCATTTTTACTGTGTGGAAAAAAAAGAACATTTAAATTTTGCTTTAGTTCACTAGTAAGGCCACCCTCAGTTAATGAAGGTTCACAATGAGTGAAAAATCACATTAGTGATTGTATCTTGGTTTCCACAGTGTTCTGCACGCTGTGGAAGAGGCCGGCAAACCAGAGCGACTGCGTGCATTGCTATACAGAGAGGCATTCTTCGAGTAGTTCCTGATGGCAGTTGTGCAGTTCTAATGAGACCAGAGCATGAACGATCATGTGTTGGTCATGATTGTGGCCCAGATTGGTTTGCTGCTGAGTGGACAACAGTAAGTGAGAAGCAACCCACAAATGGAAATGAGAGCTCTTTATTTTATTTTAATTTTTTAAATCTGAAAACTTAAATACATAAATCAGTTGTATTTTAAATGTTAAATGTTTGAACACCACATGTAGCTCTGTATTAGTTATGGGAACCTCCTTGAAAATGAACCAGATTAAGAGAATGTTGGTTAGAGTAAAGTCCAGTACATTATTACAGAAGAGTCATATTGGTGTGTGTGTATGTGTGTGAGGGGGGGAATGTCTTCTCTATACTTGCTGTAAATTAGAAATCCTAGATACATTTCACCAGTGAAAAAGAAATGTTCTCTTGTGAAATTTGCATATTGGATTTATATTTTTATTAGTATGTGCAAATTATGGTCATTTTAGTTTCATCACATTTCACTTAATAAACCCATTTAAAATTTCCATTATGCTACTCTGTGAACATACACATGACCAGGCAGATAAACTCTACCCCTGTCTGTTGAAGGCTTTCCCCAATCCTCCTCTCTCCCCTCACACCCACCACCAAGGGCTTCCCCTTTGCCTGAGCTGTGCAAAAGGCCAGATTAAACAACTTTCTCAAGTTGACTTAAGAAAGACTCTTTGAAACGACCAGAATATTTTTAAAGAATTATGTATGTGCTTTAAAATGATATAATGTTATTCATACATATAATTAATAATATTAAAGATTTTAATTTTTAAAAAAATATAATATTTCAAATGTTATTACCAGGTTTAAATTGAAACTATTTTAGTTGAAAAAATAGTAGGTGCTACATAGAAGAAAAATTTATAAAAATATGTAGATGTTTTATTTTCAAATTGCTTATAAAAAATAGAAATTGAAAGTACTAATACATTACATATTTATTATCATAAATAAATTCCTTTTCTTACATTGTTTTCTTCAATGTTTTTTAAAAATGAGCCCCCTGTAAATACTTTTTTAAGCTTCCCTTTGATGTGCATTTACTTGTTTCTCATACAAAAGACCAATACAAGATGACAAAAGAAATTTCATTACTAACAATGCTCACCATTTTCTAGTGCTCCCGTGATTGTGGTGGTGGAATACAAAGAAGAGATGTCAGATGTCTTGACCAGCACCAACGACCATCATCTGATTGTTCAGATGAAAGACGTCCTGCCACAAAGAAAACTTGTAATACTCATGAATGTGGTACTTCACAAAATGGTATGTTTTCTTTATTCATAATATTATGAAACAAAATAAATATTTTATTTAAAAACAAATTATTTATTATGTTGTCTGTGCACAGTTAAATGAAGGAGCAATTACTAAACTGTAAAAGTTAAGTCCTAATCTTAGAACATTCAAAAGTACTACCTATTTGAAATTCAATTTAAATCCAAATAAACCAATCCAAATGGGTTTTTCTTAATAAATTTGCTATGATTAATACACTTGTAAACAGAAAGTATTAATAAGAATCCACATTCATTTTTGTCACAGGTAATGGAAGTGGTACTACAGAAAATCGACTCAAAGATGATCCTATTCCTAGCAGAGATTCTGGGGATCAAGCCATTTCAACTGATGAAAAATCAGTTCATGGTATGCAGCTTAACATATCTAATTAATTTTCCTACAGAATTTTTATCTTCAACAGAAAAGTACAGAAACTTATATCTCTTAAATGAGTTGAAAAAGCATTTAAATATATAGGAATGGAAAGAGAGTAATCAGCTCTTGTTTTACATTTTAAAAATCACAGCAATATTAAAAGAAATGTTTCATTTTCAAATTTCAAATACATTTGCATTCAGTGATTTTATGAACAGACAGTATGAGACAGTAACATTTAAGAGTAATACTGCAAAAATAATTTTGCGAACATTAACATTAAATTTTGACATTAACAAATTGAATTTTGATGCAAAATGCCTGTACTTTTCTTTTATTGTCAATCTCTTAAGTCCAAAGACCAAATGAGCAGCCACTCTGATAATTACCTGCCATACCTCTATAGACAGATCCAGAAGTTGTATCATTCAAACAAATTGAATATGTAAGACCAGAAAGACTCCTGTCGATGGTACACAAAAATAGATTGCAAATTTGGGAGATAATATACTTGTGTTTTTTTGAAGCATCCTGTATTCATTCTGAAGATTCATCATATATAAATGATTGGTATCTAATGGCAAAATTATCAATGGTGAATACATAATGACTCAATCAGAAAATTGATCCCTTAGCAAAACAAAAAAGTTAGTTTTTCAACTTAGCAGCCAATTTGTTGCCTGCACGATCATTCAATGGTTGAACTACCTTCATCATCTCACGGTGATTAATGTTAACAATTGAAAATTGAATCAAAGCATATGTGTAACTGCGTAGGTCTATATTGTGTATCTAGGCCTATATGGTGTATCTAGTGTTCACATAGTGTATTTCTGTGCTGATTGAAAATCCTCAATTGTTTTCAACACTTTTAATTTAAAACTCTTTAAGTAAAATCAATGTGATATTAGGTACAGGATTTTCACTAGTAAATAATACTTGTATCATGTGAGCAGCTATTTTAATTATTATTTGAAATTAATTGTTTTTTTACAGTTATATAAATGCATTTTTTTTTATGTGGCTAACATAAAGTTTTAATTTTTGTTTACTGCTTTTAATCAACAATATTTTTTGTCCTGCAGATGACGAATGTGTAGACAAAATTGCCAACTGTCACCTGGTGGTTCAGGCTCGTCTATGCACATTATCCAAGCTGTATCGAACCAGCTGTTGCCATTCATGTCACAAGAAATTGTAGTTTGTGACAATTAGAGGCCCTGGCTTTTGAACAGGCAACTTTTTCTGTTGAAGATCAAGTGGGAAAAATGAGGCAAATCCTGACCTCATAGATATAATTTGAAACATTTGTTAAAATATTCCAAAGGTTTTATTTTTCATCTCTTTAAATATTTATTTACAGGGAACATCTTGTTCTGTAAAAACTTTGGTTGTAATAGTTTGAAAAATTTCCCTGTCCTGTAATATATACATATTAAGATCTAGTTCATACTTTAATAAGAGCACGCTAGATCAACAATTCTACATATTCAAATGTAGACATAAAGATTAATGCAGAATGTACTGCATTTATTAGATTTTTGTTGAGTAAATGAACTCAGCCTACTACAGACATTGATTGTAATGATCTGCAGGATTCATTTTGGAACAAATTTGGGAAGAAAAGTGAAATTTTCAATCCATATTAGATGGGTTGGTGATCTTTTATCAGTGCTTTAGTGCTGCAAGCATTATAGGTCATTTATAAAATGATTTATTTGTATTGTGTTCAGACTTATGACATTTCACTTTTTGTTTTTCTTGTGTTGTAAAGTGATTGTCAGTTTACATTGTGTTACTAAGTATTATCAGAAGTAATGAAGAAATATTTGTTCTGTGTAGACTGATATGTATTTAACGTGTACCTACAACTGTAGCATGTAGAAGACAATTTTACCTACTGTGCTGTGGAGAGTCTTATTTGATTACTCATTAGTGTTTTAAACCAAACTGTTTGATAAATGAAGCCCAGCCATGCCAAATGTCTGTTGGCAGAACACACTGCTTTAACTCCCAGCTTGTGTGTTGAAGGTAAGTTTGCAGAAATTAACCTTTGTGAATTATAATTTTATAGCCAACTTAATTGTCAATTGCATTTAACAAGCAATGTTATATAATATGTTATGTTTCATAGTGTCTTTAAGAACATTACAATGAGCCATATTGGCTGTTATTGTTAAAATATTCCTAGTCCAGATGCCTGTACATAGTATACTGCTATTCAAGTTGGGAGTTTTGCTGGAGTGAGCTGCACTAAGAGAGCCAGTCACAACCAGTTGTGTACATTGATTGAATTTTGTGTGTGTTAGTCATTTATCAGTTAAGCATTATGAGAATGTCTTTTGAGAGGAAGCTCAGATTCATCTAAGCCCAACAATCCACAGCCATATTGCGTGACAAAGGGTTTTAATCAAAAGTGCAGCAATCTTCCACATTTTCTCTCTTGCTTGCTCTAGTATATATTGTGCCAAACATGTAATTCTCTTAGATAATTTTATTTAATGGTGATTCTGAAAAGTTCATGATAGTATACTGCAAATTATTTTCTTTTTCTTTTAGTAATTGCAAGGTATGAATATTTCACTTGTGTCCAGAATGAGATCTGCAAGGAGTTATGGTACTTGTTGCCTGCTGGCGATATTTGTGGTTGTGAACTGGGCTGCTTGTGTCTGTGAGTGAGTGAACCATAGATGAACCCTTGGGCCAAGATGTCCTCCAGCTGTGTGGCGTGGAGAATTTTCATCCTGGCTAGCTTGTCCTACATTGTTTGTGTGTGTGTAATATACATATAAATATATAAATAATTTAATAATATATTCTGTACTTTTTGTTATTCAGAATAGATATCTGTATGTGATTGTAATATTAAGATGTTCAGCTTAAATGCAATGAATACAATCAACGTAATTTTAAGCTGGAGTTGGAAGTAAATGACTTGACCTTAATCACAAGACTGCAAATTTGAATGATTTGGTAATGCTCATTATCCCATTATTTATATATATATATATATATATATATATATATGAAAAACCTGTTCTGCAACAAATTATTTGTGTTAATAGCTTTAACCCATTCAATAACATTGTTATAACTACATAACTATTAGCTACGACAGGTTTCTTTCAGAGACAGTTACATGCCATAAAAATAGTCCATAAAATAAATATTTTATGCTTTATTCAAGCTTAGTTACATTTAAACTACATTAGATTATTTTTTGCGCTTATGTAAACTTAACAAAAATTTTAGGTACCATATATTTATAATTACAATATACAACATGGTCTTCATTGAAACACCACTTCTGGACATATCATGAGATGAATACATGACAAATGCCTCTGAAAACACTATATTAGGAATTTTCATTTTATAATTAGAGATAATATTGATTTTTTGCATATATCCATTAATAGATGATAATAACAGTTCATTGTTATTCTGAACTAAATAAAAAACCTTCATTTCTTTGGTTTTGTATTAGTACCTCATAAAAATTTTACCTCACAATGCTTAAAATGAAACTAAAATTTATAGAATTACTTATAATGTAATATTTTTTTATTATTTTGGTGCTATATTAGAAAAGTTACATTTACGTTTCCTTTGTAATGTACAATATTGCAATCAGAGATTGAACTACTGTAGCTTCAAATATTTAGTCCCTTTCATTGTCTATTAACATTACAAATTAGGAACTACTCAAATTGTTTAATTATGACAAGTTGTTTGGTAGCGTTATTTTAAGTGTTTTGTTTTGAAAATTTAGAAAATTCAATTCTATTTTCTTAGCCTTTATTTTAACAACTTTTTCCTGTTATTCATACTTTATTTGTCTGAACAACAAATTGCAATTATTAAAAATAAAGCAAGTATTATTTTGTATGACTTTTACCTCATCTTTCAACCACTATGCTGATGTCTTAGAAATATTTGAAGTCTAAATTTCCACATGGATGTCTGTGACATTTTTGAGATAATCAAATTGCTCCTCTTGAAGAAATGTTTTTTTGGATGAAAACAACCTCTAGTTAAAAGACACATTTACAGTTTTCTGGATGAGGTAACAATTCTTTATAACTCCTAGATTGCTGTTTCATTAATATTCTATCTTTGTGTGAATATTTAGTAGGGATTTCCTTTGTTTAAAATTGGGAGGTATTAAAACTTTATAATAATTGCTGTTTGCTCACAACTCTACTCTACCAGCAGCTGTCATTTGAGGTCATGTTGAAATAAGCCACATTTTCAAAAGGAAAACTGATGTTGGTTCTATAAGTAAGAAATTAGTAAAGTGACATCAATTGCATGCCTGAAATGATATTGCCAAACAACTGTTGTTTCTGAGAGGAACAAAAGGGTTTCTCTTTTTATAATATAGGGGAAAATGAACCAAATCATTATAAACCAAAACACACCAGAAAAAAAAACTTCATTGCATGTTACAATGTACTTTCAGAATTTCTATGTATTGTATAGCCTCAGTAACCTGGTATCGTATGGCTTCAAGAACCATTAGTTAATTATGTAATCATGGAAAACAAAATTGAATCAAAAAAAAAAAAATCCTATCTTTAATAGCGTACAAGGGGTCCAAACAATTTTAACTTTTGCAATTTTTGAAAATTCACAGGTTGTATTGAATAATGGGCCTATTTTACCAAGAATTTTAAAGAAAAAGTGGGAAGAAATTTAAATAGTATTTTGAATGTCACAGGGATTTTATGTAAAGGACCAAAATTCACAGATTCATTTCAAATTTGCCATGACTCAAGTTAAGAATATTCATTTTGGGAAAAAATCTTACCAATGGTTTAGTTCCATGGGGTTCCCAATTGAGTTTATATCAACCCCCTGGGGGTCTATGAAATTTAATAGAGGTCAGTGATGTTGATGAAAGGGTTAATTGAGGATCTATGCCCAAATGTGAACCAGCGACTGGTAGGTATAATGAAGTTTCCATTAATTACCAACAAATATTAAAAGAATGCGATAATTCATTTCTCTCGGACCCAAAATTACGTGAAAACCACTGGTATTGAACCTTTTCTCTTTCTTACTCCTCTTTCAAACTATCAATTTCAAATCAATAATCATGGCTAGATCAGCTACTACTCGCCCAACTTTTCTTGAACGATGGATTGAAGAAATGCGGGTAGAGTGGGGCTATTAGTTACGACATCGGCCACTATATTTTATGAAGCAATGCCAATCTGGGAAATCAGTCATGCCTTCACAACTTTCTCAATAATTTGCGTTCCAACTTTCTCAGGAGTTCGAGGTACCTCCTGTGATGGATCTTTACCTGCTACGGTCATTTATTAAGATCTAGAGAAAATCACGGACAGAAGTTTTCAACAGAAAATACTTTATATTTCGCGCCATTGAAAATGTGTTTGGAATGTTGTCATCGGTGCTCGCTGCGAGCTTTTGTCTTCAACTGTTTATTGTGACAGAGGTGGAAGTACTAGGTAAGTAGGGAGGTACTAGGGAAGTAGTAAGGTCATCGTTCAAGAAAAGTTGCGGGAGTAATATTACACAGGCACCCTTTTATGAGCTCTGGTCCCACTCATTTATTAACGTTATTCGAATTGAGAACAAATGATAGCAACAAGCATTGTTGGCAAAATGAGATAATCAGAAATGGTCGCTCCAGAGTAATCCTTAGGGCCCCTTCCCACGTCGCGACGGCGGTGCGCTTCCGAGCAGCGCGGCGCGTAGCAAGCATTGGTTTGAATGGAGGCCTTCCACGTGCAGCGGGTGGCCGCTGCTGCGGCAGCCGACGCCGAACTCCAGCCACGCGAGGCGGAGGAGGGGGCACGCGCCACCGCTAGCAGAACACAGCTTTAAATGGGAGCCTTCCCACTGTGCCGCCGGTCGCTGCGGTTTACCTGCTGCGGTCCCTTTGTTCGTCGTCGCCGGAGGGTCGGCGATTAATACCCCTGCAGAACCCACCCCCTTCCACGGCGGGCGGCGGTGCGGCCGCAGCTCCGGCCGTGGCGGAGACGTCAGAAGGGCTCTGCTGCTTGAAGCAAGCGCAGCGCCGTGGTGACGTGGGAAGGCGCCCTAACAGAAAATATTTTGCACTGAAAAACGAACTTCATATCTTCAATGGATCATAAACCTTAGAATCAAAATTAATATTTATAACTATTAATTATTTCACCTCACACTTGGGCTATTCGTCTGATCTATTCGTAAACTTGACGTGAAATAAACAGATAAATTTGGCACGTTTGCCGCCATGTCTAGTATTATACAATGGCTAACTTACTCGACGAAATGACAATATCAAATTACTTGTGACATTTACACATCTATCTTCGTATTAGTTAAAATCTATTTGTTTTGTTTACAAACTTACGAGTTGTTATCTATTGCTTTCTTTCAAATTTTTAAACATAGATCTGAAAGGATTCTTCTGTTTCTTTAGTTTATGTTCCTCGCAGTACAAATTTATATTTCCAATGTGGATCCGCGAAGTCGTCTCTGTATAATATTTAATATTATTGTATAATATTAATAAACCGAATAATATTTATTGTGGAACCTGACTCTCGTATTCACTACCATTGAGTTTCTGCTATCTACTGAAAAATGACACAGGTTTTCAACAATGTTGCCTGTCGTGATATTAGCAATTATTTATTAGTCAAAATTTTTCCGAAATGATACTGGGCAAATCCAGTTATCCTCCGTAAATAACATCAGCATTCTAGTAAAAAAAACCTAACGAAACACATATACCCTTTTAACATAAAACAACTTGCCTTGACAAAAAAATCCAAATATCATACACCCATTTTTTATTTACATTCCATTCACACGAGTACACCCCTTTTAAGTACTGAAATTATTCTAATGGCCATTTTATTTTACTCTTTACCTAATCGCAAATCTTGACCTTGTTATAATTTTGTTTTGAAAAATTTGTGCAATCTCCCTGGTTATTGATTCACAGGACCCCGTAATGGCGCCGTCTCCAACCGTTGCCAATGTCTGTGACCATGTCCATATTAGTTTCATACACCATATTGTCCAAATTCCGAATTGAAACACTACCGAATTAATAATGCACGTACTGAAGCGTCACTTTTCCGAAATCTAAAACTTTCATAAAATTCTACGTAAACCCAAGACGACCTCGGTCACGATGTTGCCAGTACAAAATCACAAACACGTCTGTCTATGCATTGTTGCATTGCCCCTTCTATACTGCACAGTTTTAAACAAAGAACAGCTCTTCTCATTGTCAAGCCCGCTGTATCTTTCCATTTACAAATGTCTTTATATTTCGCTAATTTCTTCATTGCAATGATTTCTAATTAAAAATCCAACTAATAATATTAATTATTTTTCACTGTTCCAAATTCCTAATCTTGTTATATTTAAAACGTTTATTACGAATAACAAGCAAATCTCCCCCACGTGATTATTGTAAGCCTCTTTATTAATCTAGGTATTTTACCATTATCTTGTCTCTTGATATATGAATTAGTGGTTTTTGTAAAAAATAACTTAAGGGCGTGAATATATGTTCAGCAAACGCCGATGTCAATTACTAGTACAAAACTCGACGTATAGTAATCATATTCATCAGGTGACAGTATTAACAGCTCACTACAAAAAATTCACATACAATACTTGTACATTATTTTACACCTTGCTAGATGACATTAAACGATTAAATCCGACACAAAAGCTTAAGTCCCAAGTAAAATCTTTTCTGCTGCACATTTTCTATACAATTATAGCTTATACCGAGCATCCGAAAGGAAAGTGATATTCAATTTAACAACGTTAAATAGTGTATTATTTACCATTTGAATTGTATAATTCTAAAGAACCTGCAACAAATATTGTACTTACGCTTCTGGGTCTATGACCCCCATCTCGATCAGGTTTTCGTCCAGTTTCTCTGATTCTTGAGCAAATGCTGAAATGGCTCCTTGTTTTGCCTCTGAGCGTAAATTTAACTTCTCCCCATC